GGCGGCTCTTTCCTCACGTGCTGACCTTCATAAGCCGGGGAAGCCCAGTGGGTTTCAAGCTCCTTCAGCCCTTGGAGACTGTCTTTGCCCCCGACACAGGACAGTGAAAAGCAGTTTCATTATTGACTATGAGCCCGGAGGGAGGCGTCTCATGAGGTGAGAACCGCATGCCTTTGACCTGAGAGGGGCTTAGAAAGCTGTGCAGCACGTGGGTGAGCTCTGGGTCAGGGGACGCTGAGTTTGAATCCTGGTTGTGCCACTTAACTCTCTCTGACGTTGAATTTGTTACTTAACCCTCCGTGACGTCTGGCCTCCCGTCTAATGAGGATGAGAGCTGTACTTCCTGTGGGGGGGTGGGGTCCTGTGGGGGGTGGGAGGGGCAGAGCTAAGTGCTCAGGAGATGTTAGGTTTGTGACTACTTACCAGAGGGAGCCGCCTCTGACCGTGTTGGCCGTAGTACATGGCTGAACGTTTGCTCTTCTTGTGACCTTTCAGTTGTCACGAGTCAAGGGTCACTGTATGTTACCACCCGAGGCAAAGCTTGGTGGTCCGGGGAGGTGCGTTCACATGGAGAGAGAGAGGGAGAGGGAGAGGGAGGGGGAGAGGTGGGAGGGGGAGAGAGAGAGAGAGAGAGAGAGAGAGAGAGAGAGAGAGAGAGAGATGGGGGATGGTGCCTGCAGTACATGCAGAGAGCATCCAGATGCTGGGAGTGCCCTGCTTCTCCCTTGGGTTGTGACTCCGAGTTGGACGCTTCTGAAGTGTCCACAGCGCTGTTCCGGGGAGAGAAGGGTCGTCCCTGCCCGAGGCGTGCAGCAGCACACTCCTAGGGGCCGCTGCCTGAGGGACGATGTAATGATCTTAACTGGGGGTGTGGATTGTAGCCGGAAACAGAGACTGACTTCTGAATCCCGGTCACCAGCATTCAGAAAAGGAGGGTCAGGGGGGTCACATACCTGGCGACGGAGGAGATGAGGCTTGGGTGGTGAGCACACAATAGAGCAGACAGGTGTAGATGTATCAGGTTGTGCACCTGAAATTGGCTAATGTTTTTAACTACTGTTACCCAATAAATGTAATTTTAAAAGTTGAGTAAAGGTGCTGATCTACTTTTTTGTCTTAAGTCACATAGCTTAGGTGAAGCACAGTAACTACAACGCCTGTTAGGCGTGCAGGCCTGTGAATGTTGACAGGTGCATGCTGTTGTGTAACCACCACTGTAGTTAAGACAGGACATTTTAATCAGCCCAAGACATTCCTCCTCTACCTGCAGCTTCTGGAACAATGACCATTAATCCAGGTCTAAAAAACCCACTTGCTGCATGTCCTGACATTTCCTAGAAAGCACGTGTGTGAAGCCCAGTGTTTGCAAGTGGTCGTGGGCGGCTGCAGGACTCGCTGCCGTCGGGGAGCCCGGCCTGCCCATTCATTCATCCAGCAGAGACGCGCTGGGCTGCTGTCCCGTGCCGGGCAGGGGCGCCTGCTGTGACTTGGTTCTCGTGCGGGTCCTCCGTCTCTCAGAGGCCCTGATGTGATGGGGAGATGACCACAGCTAGAAGCTTAGATGAAGACATACGGACTTAACTCACAGTGGGAGCAGGACGTCAGGCAGTGTCACAAGGCATGTCACGCTGTAGTTTTGGCTGAACAGCAGGGACAGTGAGTGAGAGGCGCTCAGGAAAAGAGAGGTCAGTCTGTTCTGGGGTGGCCGGGAAAAGGCTCCAAAAAAAGCAGGCATTGTGAATCCTGCCTGTTGCTGGCCCTCCTCCCCTCCTCCCCATCCCTGTCACCGCCTCATTGAAGCCTTTGATTCCTCGAACTGGAAAAAACACCACTTCCTCCACTCGCATCACATGGCCTCTCCCCGCTTCCCCTTCTTCCCGCTGCTGTGCTAAACTTACTCTTCATCACCATGTGCCGGCTGTGGCCCTGCTGGCTTCTCTCTCACACACCAGGTCCTGGGCCACATGCCCTCTCTGCCCCCCAGTTCCTGACAACAAAGTCTTGTGCGGAGTAGGTGCTCGATTAGCCTTTGTTAGTTGAATCACAGAGTTGGGCATTGTGGGAAGACAGTGAGGAGAGTCCTGCCGGGCGGCTCAGAGTGTCGTCCTGTACACCAAAAGGTTGTGGGTTCGAGCCCCCGTGGGGGTGTGTGCAGGAGACAATGATCTCTCTCTCTCTTTGTCTCTCTCAAGTCAATAAACCAGTGTCCTCAGATGAGGATTAAACAGCAACAGTGAGGGAGAGAATTTTGGTCTGAACAAAGGGGTAAAATTAAGATGCTGAGCTGCTGGCACTGTTTATGCCCCCAGCGAGCTGCTGTGTCTGTGGGGAAGGCAGTGCAGCATCGGAAGTTAAAGCGGCTTTGATACCAACCACACGCACATACGATCTGAGTGGCCTGAGAGTGGGTATTGCGGACACCCCTCTCCTCGGACACGTTCTGACACCCGTTAGGTTTCTGTCTCCACCCCTAACTGCTTCTAGGACGTGGGAAGTCTCGCTTCCTGCTGTTGTATTTTATTTGGGAGAAGAGGCAGCAGGAACGTGAGAGGGGTCAGTGTCGCACTCAGTGTGTGTCCAGTGAACTGTGTGACTGATGTTCTCATGCTCAGACAGGTAGCCCCAAGGGTCAAGGGAGAGTTCGGGAGCCTGCCCGCCAGGTTTCGCCTGCCTTTCTTCGCTTTAATTTCCTCCCCTCCAGGAAAACCTAGGCAGCATCCACCTTCCCTCCCCCCCCCTTCCACGTGCTGCGCCCTGTGCACCCTTGTCACACCCAGCCTGCCTTAGCGATCCATGGATGCCCCCCAACCCTTCCCTGCCTTACGCACGTCTTTTCATCACCCCCAAAACGAAGTCAGAGCAGGAACCACTTACAAACAAAAATGCGTGAGCAATGAAAAGACTGTGAGCTGTGAAAACCGGACCTGGCCGGGAAGGCTGACTTCTCCAGGAGATGGGAGTGTCGCCTCCCTGCCGGACCTGAACATTTGCAGGTGGCTGGGGGGACGTCCGGGACAGAGCACTGCGCGTGGTCCCAGCTGTGTGGCCTTGGACAAGTCACTCCGCGTCTCTGTGCCTGGTTGCTGTATTTGTAACAGGGCGGTGATGCTTGCCCTGTTGTTTCCAGGCCAGGAAATGTTAAAATAACGTATACACGATAGCAGCGTGCTGAGGTCCGGGGAAAACAGTGTTATTCCCGTTTGTTCGTTGGTCCAGTTTTCAGGTGTGTTCCGTCCAGTTAATTGCCCACTGAAGTATGAGGTCAGCTCTGGGTAAAAGTAAGCAGGGCATTAGGGGTAGAGTAGGAAATTAAAGCTATGATGAGTCACAATGGCTAAAAAATAAAAAAATAGTGACCACACCAAAAGCTGGAGAGACTGTGCGTAAGTTAGGTTATCCAGCCCAGCCGAGTGGCTCAGTAGGTTGAGCGTCATCCCATGCACCAAAGGGTTGCGGTTTGATTCCCGGTCAGGGCAGACACCTGCATTGTGGGTTTGATCCCCAGTCCTGGAGGTACGGAAGGCAACCCGATTGATGTCCCCTCCCCTCCCTTTCTTCTCTCTAAGCATGTCCTCAGGTGAGGGTTTTTAAAAAAAGATTATCCATCCGTGCTGGTGGGAATGTAAAATGGTGCAGCCACTCTGGGTAACAGTTTGGCAGTTTCTTGTAAAACTAGACATGTAATTGCCATATAACCCAGCAACTGCACTCTTGGGATACATCATCCCAGAGAAATGGAAGCTTACGTTTATACAAAACCTGCGCACAGATGTTCTTAGCAGCCTTGTTTGTAAGAGCCAAGGGATGGACGTGACCCCAAAGTCCTTCAGAGGGTGGCTAGACCAAGGGACATCCCAACCATGGAATGGGACCAGCGAAAAGGGACCAGCTCTTGATACACACACCTCTGGACATACACAACCGGGATGAATAAACCTCCAGGGGATTATGCCCAGTGAGAAAAAAAAAAAGCCAAGCTCAAAAGGTTACTGTGTGGGTCTGTTGAGAACACACTCTTGAAATGTCCAAAATTAGAGAAATGGGAGACAGGTTGGTGGGTGTCAGGGATTAGTGAGAAGGGGTGGCTGAAGGAAGAGTAACATAGGAGATGCTTGTGTTGGTGACTGTGGGGCGGGTGTGTGAAGCTGTGTCTGTGATAAAGCTGCATAGAACTAAGTACACACCCATCAGCACACACAGAATACGGCGACGGAGGAGATCGGAGCGGATGCGTGGACGGCTGTCAGTAGCATCCTGACCTTGTCCTGTGGTTCTGCGAGGTGTTGCCATCAGAGGAAACTTGGGTGAAGGGCACACAGGATCTCTGTCTATTATTTCTTACCGCGGTTTGCGAATCTATAATAATCTCACACTGAAAGGTTTGATTTAATAAAAACGTGAGGCAGGATTCCGAGCCAGGTGGTCAGAATTCATCTTGTCAGTGTTCTGGGGAGTCGATGCTAATGCTACACACATGAGTGAGTTAGAACTGGGCGAGCGTCTGCCCACCGCTCTGCTCTTTCATCCAGCAGGCGCGTGGCCTGGGGAGAATGAACAGGACACCCCACAGCTAGATCCACGGTGGGTGGATTGGGGTGGTCCTTCCTTCCTACTGAGATTTGAGCATGTGTCTCTGAACCCTAGGACTCGGAACATAGCACACAGCTTCGTTTGGAGCAGGAGCAGAGAACAGAAATGGGTCCGTTCCAGGCACTGTCAGACTGGGCCTGGGGCGAGGTCCGGATGCAGCCTCTGGTCCCACAGCCGTGGCTGGGCCTGGGCTGGGGTGGGACGTTGCCCCCTGTAAGGATGTGGGCAGGCTGCTGGGAACAGTCCCGGAAGCCCGGGGCTTGGTCTTCATCTCACGGCCGTTGGCACGTGGTGACCGAGACGCTGAGCCCTGGCTGGTCGGCTCTTTTGGGGAAGGTGCTGAGTCCTGAGAGAGTGTGGGAACTGGCACCGGGAGGCGTTGGTGCGTGACCGCTTTCCTCTCTTTGAAGTTGTAGGGCAGTCACACCTGGACAGCAACATCGAGGACCAAGAAATTGTCACCAACCCGCCAGACATTTGCCAGGTGGTGGAGGTGACCACCGAGAGCGATGAGCAGCCGGTCAGCATGAGCGAGCTGTACCCTCTGCAGATTTCCCCCGTGTCTTCCTACGCAGGTGAGGGGGCGGGGGTAGAGCTCTGGCGCGGCGCAGGGGGCAGGGGAGGGCTCCTTCAGTCGGGGCGCCCGCCCTGCCCAGCAGACGGCCTCCCCTCTCTCCCGGGATTGTTCTTGCTCTGACTCTCTCCACCGGCATGCCTTGGGCACATTTGCTCTCAGCAGACAGGGTCTCCGCGTGTCTCCACTTGATCGTCCACACATTTCCATGCATGACTTAACACGTAATAACATTTCTGTGGACAAGTAAGTTCATTTGAGTCTATTTTGTTTGCACAAATTCTCAGAAATTTGGAAGGATGTTCGTAATGGAAGCTGAGCTTGGCCATGCTGGGTAGGACCCCAGGGATCATGTCCTCCAGTTCCTTCCGTTTGGGAAGTGAAGGGACTTATTCCAGGTCACACGGTCAGTACGTGTTTGGGTCAGGGCTTGACCTCAACCTTCAGACCCCAAGCCTCATTCCATTCCACCAGGTTTATTTGTGACTCCCACATACATTCCCCTTCTTTTTCTTGAGTTTATATACATATATATATTTTATTAACGTATGACATATGTGTCCTTATCGCCCCATTGCCCCCCACCCCCCTTTTTTAAGGAATATATATATATATATATATATATATATATATATATATATATATATAAATTATTGATTTTTAGAGAAAGGGGAAGGAGAGGGAGAGAGAGGTAGAAACATCACCGATTGGCCGCCTCTCACATGCCCCGAACTGGGGATGGAGCCCACAACCTGGGCATGTGCCCTGACCAGATATCAAACTGGTGACCTCTTGGTTCCTGGGTCGACGCTCTACTGCTGAGCCACACCGGCCGGACAGTTCCCCTTCTTTTTCAACTCAGTGCAGCTTCTGATTGGGCCAGGCAGCTGAGCCCGTTTCCGACGCCCCAGGAATGGCCTGTCATGGCAGGAACTGGCCAGACAGTCAGGGTTGGAACCCGACCCTGTGGGTTCTCCATCCTTTCCGGGGCGTGACGGCTCCTTTCCCCGCCACCGTCGCATCATCTCCGCTCTGTCTCCGCTCCCTTCCCAGCGGTCTCCAGTCAGTGTTTGGGGACTCGGTCACAAGTAGGAAATGTGACTGAGTCAGTGCTACTGCTTGCGAACATTGAAAGTACGAAGCAAGGCCTTGCCGTGAGTGACCGCAGGCAGCTCTGATCCGTGGCTCAGGATCCTTCCCAGTGTCCCTTTCCCAGGCTGCAGGGGCCACCCCCGGGACAGGGCGTTGGTGAGCTATCAGTTTCTAAATAACCCGAACCCCAACTGTCTTTTTAACTGACTTTAAAAAAATGACGGTAAAATATGCATACCATAAAATTGGCCATTTTGCTATTTCGGCGGCATTAAGTGCGTTCGCATTGCTGTGCAGCCCTCACCGTCGTCATCTCCACAGCTTTTTCATCTTCCCAAACGGAACCTCTGTCCCGTTACATGCTGACTCCCTCTTCCCCTCCCCCGCGGCTGTCAGCCCCGTCTGCTTTCTGTGGATTTGGCTACTCCGGGTGCCTCCTCTAACATGGAATCACCCAGGATTTGTCCTTCGGGGAATGGGCTTATTTCACGTGGCACAGTGTCCTCAAGGCCCTGGCTTTCCGTGGTGCCAGGAACACTAAAGCAGTGTGGGAACCGCCTTGGCCGCAAGAAGCGTATAATCTGTCAGACGGGGTAAGCTGTCAGTTACTTAGTCATCAGGCACGTTCTGCACGCCTGTGTGCGAGTCCCGCGCTGGGGTTTGCAGCCCCCAGGAATCATCACTGTGATTTCCTGCCTGTTTGTTGTGCCCTGGGAACCACGTGGATGCTGGGCGCCCATTGACTTCATGATCATGAGAATAACCCGTCAGCCTGGGCACCATCACGGTGCCCTCTCTGAAATCAGGGATCCAGGGCTGATGCGGGTGAAAGCCGTGGGCCCAGGGGTGAACACGGGATGGCACAGTGAGCACCCACAGGGAGCTTATGCCAGGGGCCCGCTCTGAGCCCTGCCACCCAGATGCTGCCCTCGGGACACGTCCACCTCTGGTGATCGCTAAGACCCACCGCAAGGAGGCAGGGCGGAATGTTCCGGCCTGGGTTTCACAGCAGAGATGACGGAAGCCAGGAACACGGAGCGGCTCTGCTCAGACTTCCGTGGCTGCAGCTCCTGCTGCACGACTCCCCAGGCGGCGGTGGTCCTCCTCACCCGGAGGTATTCTCCCATTGACTTTTAGGGAGAGTGGAAGAGAGGGAAAGACAGAGAAATAATGATGTGAGAGAAACACATCGATGGGTTGCCTCCTGCACGAGCCCCAACCAGGGCCTGGGCTGGGGAGGAGCCTGCAGCCGAGGTATGTGCCCTTGACCAGAATTGAACCTGGGACCCTTCTGTCCGCAGGCCGACGCTCTATCCACTGAGCAAACCAGGTAGGGCCCATGCGGTTTTTAACGGGTTGGAGCTTTCTGATAGACTTCTCTGAAGTCTCAGCGATGCTGAAAAGGCCTCCCCCCGCTGCTCCGCCAGCCGTGGCTTCTTGCGTTGGCATCAGAACCCCGAGAACAGCATTCCCCGCTCCAGGACATCTGCATGGGTCTCAGAAGAAGGCTCCGTGCCGGGCTGGCAGGCGCAAGCCGGCTCTGTTGGAGCCTGGCCTTCAGTCCTTCCGTTGTTCTCAACATCTGGATTCTCCAGAGCCCTGGGGGGGGGGGGGGGGGGGGGGGGGGAGGCTTCTTGGTTGGAGCCAAAATGTTTCATCACTGCGGCGTTCCCAGAGCCGAGGGCACGTGGAGACGTACCTGTTACTGGCCATGGCTGGTGTAAGTCTCATGAGTCGGATTTAGAGCGTGCTGCTAGGAAAGGCAGTTTTTTTGGTTGTTGTCCCCTTTCCACCTGTATGTCCCCAATCGGATTGGCTGTTTGCCTGCTTTCCATGACAGGGTGTGGGTCTGTTTATTTGTTGGTTTGTGTTTTTTCTTTTTGGTTTTGCTTATTCAACTGTATCTCAACCTCCGCTAACCAATCCCATTCCTTTGTTTAGGAAACTGGTATTTGGAGGCTGTTGTTAGCTATTTCCCCTTCTGACACTGAAATGTAATCCCAGCAGGATCACAAACCACCCTCGGTTCTGCAAGTCTGTCTTCTCTGGTCTAAACCGGATGGCGAGCGAGAAGAGAGACCAGGGGTTTCTCTGAGTGGAGGTCCTTGCCTCGGGTGTTTGAAGGCAGCAGAGAGTGCTGGTTGGATCTGTCACACCTCCATCCTGGGGAGGGGGTCCCAGGGCCCGGCTGGGGAGCCTAGAGGAGAGACATTTGTCTGTGAAGGTCCGTCCACAGGCCTCTCGCCGAGGGGTGACAGCAGGGTGTTGCTAGGTGGCTGCTGGTGTCGGAAAGGAAAGCCACCAGAGCGCTTGGAGCAGGCGGGTGAGAGAGTGGGACACCAGCTGGGGAAGGAAGCACGACACGAGGGGCTGACCGGTCACAGCCCAGAGAACGGAGGTCGCCTGCTGACCAGCAGCTGGCAGTGAAGATGTGGGTCCTGACAGAAACCATTGCATTCTTTTGGGGGGGCGGCGCGGTTGGGCAAGGATAAAGGTTCTTGGAGATGAAGACCACTCTGATTTGAACCTTTCAATCGAGCCCTAATGAAAGCGATTGAGCAAATGATCGAGGGAAAGAAATCCTCCTCAACCTTCCTGACACTTGTCGAACAAGAACCTTCCAGAAAACGTACCAGGATGTCAGCGCGCAGAACGGCTTTCCTGGAAAACATACTGTTCCTCCTGCCCTGTGTTCCCGAGAAGGTTTGGCCGTGAACACTGGGCTGAAGTGCAGCGGGAGCCTAAGGCCAGCGTCCTCCTCGAGCTGTGGCCCGGGAAGAGGGTCTTTGCGATCAGCTAGGCCCCCCCCCCCACCCAGTGGCCTTCGGGAAGCGGAGCCCAGGAAGGTGACATGGATGATCGCTGATCGCATACCTGTTAGCACTCTCAGAACTTACTCAGACCAGCAGGGAAGCAGCTCCCAATGTTTTTTTTTAATTCCATTTTATTTGAAGTAAATAAAAAAGCCAAATCCAAAGTAATGAGCAGTAAAAGTGAACTAACTCCCGCTGGAGTTTCGGCACTAACACGGATCTGGAAGCAGCAGCCGCAGGGGGCTTATTTGTGGGATATGAATGGACCCGGAAAGTGGCGGTGATAACGGTGAAGTCAAACCGGGAACCGGGCCTGAGCGCCCCCAGCAAAGCACTTGGAGCCGTGGTTGTGGGCAGCCAGAGGACCACTGTCATCTAAAGAGAAGGGCCCACGTCCCCTGCTGCAGCGTCCAGCTGCTCCTGCTCGTGGGCGGAAGGCACCCAGGCCGGGCCTTTAAACCACGTGGGAAACGGTGTGGCACGTGGAGAGCCTTCACTCCAGGGCATCGTCTCAGTTCAGAAACACGTTCTCGGCTCACACAGGGTCAGCCGAAGCGAGAGCTCAGAGCACGTGTGTCTTTTCTTGTCTCCAGCTGCTTCCCTGAAGCCACAAGCTGGGACTTAAAGGGTGGTTGACGTTCTGCTCATGCTCATGGTCTGTGTGAGGTCTTCCGAGGAGCCTCACCCAGGGTCTGCCTCCCACCCCTCCTGCAGCTGTGGCTTGGGCTGTGGAACCCCATGTCTGCATATTCCCAGCCCCCAACCATGCCTGTTGGCATCTGTTTGTTTTTCATTGAAAGGGAAAGGTACCTCTGGGGGCAATTAGGAGTGGAGGGGTTAAGACATGTATGAAAGGAAGAGAAACCTTGGCTTCAGAGCCAGAGAAAGCTCAGCACAGCAAGGGGAAGCGGGTCTTGAAATTTCATCTGAGGCTGGAGTGGGAGCCAGGGCCATTACCAGTGAGGGTCTGTGGCTCCCAGGCGGATGCTTTGGGGACATCTGCCTCGTCTGAGGAGAGGCAGGCCATCCTCTAGTTGCTCATGGTCCCGTCGGTAATCACTCGTGCCCGGGAGAAGTTGCTGGAGAACAGTGGCCCTGAAACCGCAGAAAGGCTGTAGGGTGAAGCCGTGTGGTCAGCGTGCTCGCTCTCTTCGTCTAGGGTTTGTCCTCGGGTTCTCCAGCCTTCGTTCCAGAGAGCCTGGTCTGTGCCCTGTGCTCTGGGTGGGCGACAGGGCTGGGCTCGGCCCGGCCAGTCCCGGCTGCGCCACCAGCAGGAAGTGAGACAGGAGGCCAGTTCCTCAGTAGGTTCGGGTGAAAGGCTTAGAGGCCTGAGGGCCGAGAGCTCTTCCGCTTAATGGGAGGAGGATGGGCGCTGCTCCCCATGAACAATCCTCGGGACAGGCGTGGCCCAGCCCTGGCCCGTGGCACTCAGCGAATGGTCACCGTATGGCTGCCCTTCAGGCTTTGCCTGTAAAATGAATGACCCAGCCTCAGGGTCTCTCACGGTCTGTATATTTCCAGAGTTCTACACTTTGTATTTGGTTTTCTCAAAACTGTGAACGCTGAGCAACTGCACACAATTTTTTTACTTAAAAAAGTTCTAAGATTTTCTACTTAAAAAAATTAAACTTTTATTTGCTTAAAACAGTCTTATATTATATGTGACTTGTGATCACCAGCCGACGACTTGGGCTGCGTTAGTCTAGCACGTGCAGATCCAGCGTGGCCAAGGCCTAGGGCTCCGGGCAGAGGCGCAGTCCCCTTGACCCGGTGCGCCCCGTCCCAGGCCCTGGCAGGCCTCGTCCCCGCCTCGCCCACTCGTCACCGAACCCTCTTGGAAGGAGCGGCCTCCCGTTTTGCAGACGAGGAAACGGCAGCTCCGGGCAGTGGCTCACAGCGGGCAGGCGGGTCAGGACGGGCACAGAACTCCTTACCTCTGGCTGCGTGCAGTCTAACCACAAACGCAGTGGCTGCAAACAGTGCACATTTATTAACGCCCGTTCCCGAGGGCCGGGGTGCAGGCGTGGCTGAGCTCAGGGCCCCCTACACACGTCTGCAGTCCAGGTGCGGCCCAGGGCTGTCCCATCTGAGGACCGAAGTGGGGATCTGTGTCCCAGCTCCTACAGTGTGTGGGGTACAGTAAACATAGTTCCTTGCTGGCTGTTGGCAGGAAGCAGCCCTTAATTCTTTGTCATACGAACCTTCCCAACACGACTGCTCGCTTCCTTGAAGCCAGCGACAGACTCTCCTCAACACACAGGTCTCGTTAGGTAATCACACACCTTCCCATCACCTTCGCTGTGTTCTGTTGGTTTAAAGCAAGTCACAGGTCTTCTCCCCACCCCCACTCCCTCCCAAGGAGGGAACCCCACAAGGAGGTAAACACCAGGGTGAGGATCATGGTGGCCATCCTGGAATCAGCCCCCCACAGTGACCTGGATGCAACTTACAAATCCCAGATACCAGCACCAAAGGGGTGTGAGGGCAAGGAGGGATCTGAGTGAATGGGGTGATGGAGAAAGGCTGCAGAGTTGGGACTTAGTGAGCGGATTGACATGAGCTGGGGGAGCGGACCCGTGTGGGGCTGGGGAGACAGCAGTGGTGAGGACAGGCCTGGCTGGGAGGCAGGAGCGTGGGCGTGGGGAGCAGACAGCAGCGGGGCACCTCGCGACCAGCACCCCACCCTGGGAAGCGGTGGCCGTGAGCAAACATCGCCTGGCCCACGGGAAGCGAGCCCCCCCCTCTGCTCTCAGACCTTTCTCGGAAGGGCCACGGCCACTCTGGCGTCTCCCAAGGTCAGTGTTTGACCTTAGGAAGGGGACGGAGGTTGGGAGGTCAGGTACCCATTTTTCTTCTGGGAAAAGAAGTGCTGATATGTTTTCTAAACACCTGAGCCTTGAGACCGTTATCGGGCAGGAATGACCGCCCTGTGTTTCTCTCTCATGAACAGAAAGCGAAACCACCGACAGTGTGCCCAGCGACGAGGAGAGCGCCGAGGTGAGCACCGCCCGCTCCTCCCTCCTCACGTTCCTTTCCTTCTGGTCGTGAGTTTTACTCTTGGATGTGTGTGTGTGTGTGTGTGTGTGTGTGTGTGTGGTCAAGTGTACAGAACATGAAACATGTCAGACTTTTAGGTTTTGAATGATAACATGAAGCTTTGGGAGCTGACGTTACCATTGGAAAGAGAGAAGGGAAAGGAAACTGAAATGCAGGCCAGCAAACGCTGATGTTCCAACCACTATAAACAGCCTAACTCTCTAGCAGAAATAGTACGTCCCAGTGACCAAAAGCAGGAGCCAGATGTGAGCAAATATCCCACTGCACCTGGAGCCCCGCCCCTGTGGCCCGGCCCCTGCGGGCAGGTGTGTGTGGGTCCTGATTCTGGGTCACTGCTTCCCCTGTGTCTCTGCTAGGCTGCCTGGTACGTGGCAGGAAAGGGCTGTGGTGGTGATGGAGAGCATCCCTGCCAAAGCCTGCTTTGTGTCTGAGGGAGAGAGGGGGGAGTCTGACCGACTGACGGCTGGTTGAATTAGTGGGTTCCCAGTGCACCGCACACTCTCCAGTGTAGCCCAGGAATTCTGAAGAAACAACACAGGTGTAGAGGCTCACAGACATCCCAACCCACACCTTCAAGGTCAGCATTCCAGCTCCTCTCTGAAGGAGGCTACGCTGGGGCTTAGCCATCTGCTTGGCACCCTGGAGCTCCAAGCAGTCAAGGGGCGCTCCCTGTGTGGGGCTGTTTCTCACTTCCCTCCCTCTGATTGGGCCATCCATGCATGAGGAACCAGGTCTCCATGACAACCAGCCACCAGTGCCGGAGCTGGGCAGGGAGCAGAGGGGAACCAGATACCAAGCTGCTGCCCTGCTTTCCTGCCTGCATAGAACAGTCCTGGCTGCGCTCCGGGAGGCAGCAAATGGGAACCGATGAAAAGGGAAGAGAAACCACCGCGGGCGGGGCCTGCCGAGCTGGGATGGTGTCAGTGGAGGGCCGTAGAGTTGCTAAGCTCCCCTTCCTTCCACGACTCTTAGGAAATCAGTTTCCTAACACGTGGGGCTGGTGGTACTTGTTTTCTTAAGTGCCAGCCAATAGGAGGGAAAGAAAACACATCTTCATTCTTTTTCTTTAAAGGGACGACCGCCCTGGCGGAAGCGGAACATCGAAGGCAAGCAGTACCTCAGCAACATGGGCACGCGGAGCACCTACCTGCTGCCCAGCATGGCCACCTTCGTGACCTCCAACAAGCCCGACCTCCAGGTCACCATCAAGGAAGAGAACTACCCGATGCCTTTCAGCAGCTCCTGGCCCCCGTACCCCGACCACCCACTCGCGGCCTCCGTGGCCCCCGCACCCAGCGGCAGCCGGCCGGACCGCGAGACCCGGGCCAGCGTCATCAAGAAGACGTCCGACATCGCCCGCGTCAAGAGCTGTTAGGCCTGCGACCTCCCCGGCGGTCGGTCGTCGGCACGTCTCGGCTTCGTGTTGTTTGTTTGTATTTTATTTTTCTCTCTGACACCTGTTCTAGACAAATCGAAGGGACAGAGCCTCGGCCACAGGACAGTGACCGCTGTGTCCGGCCGCGGCGCCGGCCGGGCTTCTCTCTAACTCAGGACGCCAGCCCGGTGGCGGACACGTGTCTCTAGAGCCTGCTGGGTCTCCCGGGGCTGCTCCCCAAGTGCAAGGACGGCATAGGACCAACCCCCACGCGGCTGCCTGCGGCCGCGGCCACCTCGCGGAGCGGACGCCTCGGAGCGAGCGGAGGAGAAAATGTGAACGAGCTGGAAGAGGTTATCCTTGTGAATATGTACATAGGGCAGTACTAGCGACTCGCCGGCTTCTGCACCTTATCGTAAAGCACTTACAGATAGACCTTCTCGAGCCCTGGCCTACTTCTCGGCACACTCGGCCCTCCCCTGCCCCCCACCCCGTCCCCCCCCTCCTCCTCCCCCGGCGGCTGTGGGCTCCACACGCACCCGGAGGAGGAGGAGAGGAAAGGGCACTTCTCCACAGATGTCCCCTGTGCAGACTGCTTTAAGAGAGAGAGCATCTTTCTAAATCTGCTAATGCTTGAAGGCCACGCGGTACAAAGGAAAATGATCTTGAGATCTTATGCAAATTCCCAGATTTGAAGATAAAAGAGAGAGAGAGAATCCTCTAATTCTAACCAGAGCAAGCTTTTTTATTTTTTATACAGGGGAATATTTTATTCAAGGTAAAAAAAAATTCTAAATAAAATAAAATCGTTTTTTATCTTTTCTACAGCAAATTTATAATTTTAAGATTCCTTTTCTTGTTTCTCAGCAGTTGTTATGACACCCTTGTGGCACACTGTTTTTTAATTTTGTAAAGGTGAAAAAGCTTTTATGAGCTCATGTAGCAATCAAATTATCCTGTGGATTGATAATAAATGAATATGATATATAGTTAAATTTTTAATGGGCGTCACGCCTGGCTTCGTCTGTCTGTACTTTGGAGCACAGTCACGGGGCAGGACCGACTAAGGATCGTTTCTCCTTGGGGACCAACGCATTGTCCCGTTTCCGCCGCCAGAAACCCCAGAGGTTCCTCCTGCGAGGACGGAACGGCCGCCTGCGTTGAGGGTGGCCCCTAGCCAGGCGCTGTGCTGCGTGTTTCCCGGGAGTCACCCTCCGCGGTCATCACAGCTGTGCCCAGGAAATGCCTTTCCTCAAGGTCACTTAGGTAGTCAGTCAAGGGCGTGAGGAAGCCCAAGTCTGGTGTGACGATGGGGGAGGCTTTTTACCACCCACTGTCTCTGAGCACATGCCACCGCCCTGCGCTTCTCTCTTCTCACCCAGGGGCTTCTCCGCATGGCCGAAATGTCACATCTGGGTCACATGACGGGCCCCTGGGCAGGGCTAGGCATCTTCACCTGGAACTGTCTGCTGGGTTCCTACTCTAAGTCCGCCTTCTTTCCAGGACCCGGGGCCATAGATGGAGGTCTCAGACTTAGGGCATGTCTTTCCAGTGAGAAATGTGAATTTAAGGACCCCAGACACCCACCACCACCCATCTGGACGTCAAGGTGTAGTCCTGACCTTGGGAACTCTGTGCTGGCCTCACGCTCCCACGTGTCTGTGTGCCTGTCCGTGAACCTAGGGAGCTGAGCCTGAGCTGCCTCCCTCCTGCCCCGGGGTGTGGAGGAGATGGCTAAGTTAATATTTGAAAAGGCTCCGCAGTGAAGGACAAAGGGCTGATTTTATGCGCTCAGTGTGAGGCTGCAGAGGTAATTAGTGGTTGTAAACTGCTGCGCCCTGAGCAGAAATTAACTGGAGCGTTTTACTGGCTGGTGCGTTGTGGTTGAGATGCCGGTTGGGGTGGTTGCTGGTTCTGTGAGGAGCACTGGGCTGACAGGGTGACCTCCCCTCCGTGGTGAGGGGAGGAGTCGGGAGGAGGAAAAGGGTGCTCTGGCCTCCTCAGCAGGGAGCTCTCGGCTCAGCCCTACCCTTCTCAGCTCTCGGTGGCTGATATCCACATCATTTTCTTTCGTCACCCTCTGTCAAAAATAAGTTTACGGAAACGGTAACGGAAGGTAGCTCTGAGTCCCATGGCCTGGCCATCTGAGGGTTAAAGGTGGCCCCTCTTCCCAGCCCCCCTTCCCTCTTCCCAGCTCATATCCTGCTCCTTTCAGCAGCTCTGCTGGCCCCAAACACATCGCCACCTCCCCCCCCCTGCCCTGCCCTACTTCCTCCACTTCTATGGCTATAGCTAGACTCCCCCCAGAACCTGGCCGGGTGAAAGACAATTCAGGATTTGGAAATGCACAATTAACTATTAAAGATCACTTCACCCATGGCTAATAAGGCCGTGAAAAACAGAATCGAGTTTGAATTATGTTGGAGAAAGACTGTATGGTCTCTGAGGGTTACTTGCCAGTAGTTGACATGAAGACAAACCCCTGGGGCGTGTCACGGGCCCCTGCCTCAGACCTCGGTGTCAGTTAGAGGAAGTCCCGGGCACACGTGCTTCCTCGGCGGCATCTGTGTGAGCTGATAGGCTTTTATGATGGGCTGTGTGTGCGTGCGTGTGTGTGTGTGTGTGTGTGTGTGTGTGTGAAGAGCAGTGTGACAGCCGTTGGGACAATCAGTAGTCTCCATTCTCTGCAGCCAGCACTCGTCCCTCTCTGATCCTGAGAACATTGTACAGCTGTGACCTGGGACTCCAGGGACAGGGGCTTCCGCCTGCAGGGAGGTTGACGGAACCTAGCACATCCTTCCAGGACACCCCTCGAGGGTCTTAAATCCATGACCACCCAGAGCAGTGTCTGCATTTGGGTGACGTATGGGCCAAAGGCGGTGTTTAGTCTATTTACATATTTTTAGAGAAGAAGAAACAGACGAGTAAGAAATACACACAACACAAATCCATTGGAAATTAAAACCCCAAATAGTACCTTTTCTTTTTTCCCCCCCAAATCTAAAGTGTCCTAACCGATCAAGTGACTGCTACTGAGAGGGAAATGTTAGGAGGAGCGGAGAGGGAGCTTCGTGAGCTGGCTCCAGGACTTCGGGTTTTCAAACTTGTGCTTTGGGAAGTATTTTGCAAGTGAATGAAAAAGATGTTAAGCCCCAAAGGGCCTCTGCTCCGGGCCAGAGAGAGGGAACATGAGACATTCCATTTGCCTGAGGCCATTCTTTGGATGTTCCATTCATTCGGTTTTAAAAGCCCCCTGTTATTCTAGCTACGGAGGACAAACAGACCCAGATAAAAGGGGAGCATAAGAAATTTCTGCCAAATTTCTAAGGAAGAAAGAGAGAGGCATGCTGGGAGAGGCTTGCCAGCAGGTAGCCACAATGGGCTTCTGGCATCCCAGGCCGGCTCTCCAGTGTCTCGGCACCAGTTGTGGTTTGGAAAGAGAATGGAAGAGTTCAGCTACCTCATCCTGAAATTCCATCCTGTGGCAGAGCCAGGCCAGGGTGGTCAGGCCAGCGGGACCTGTTCCCAGGCTGCAGGAGACCCCGCCCCCCGGCTGTCACAGTCCGCAGGGCTGTCAGCTTCTCAGCCACATTTACCTCCCAACATGTGGATGGAGGTTGGCGACACAGTAGGCAGTCACCCCAGGGTCTCCTCCTCCTCCCTTGGGGTCATTACCCTGGGGGTCAAGACCACAGGGCGGGAGCCCTGGGCTGCACCCTGAGGGAACATGATCAGCCACCGCCCTGGAGAGGAGATCGGGCACATATTGCCGTCAGGAGACACCAGAAGGTGGTGGGTGAGCTGTTGCCTTCTGGGGCTGCCTGGCCTCTGGGCCCCGTCCAACCCTCTGGACACAGACCATCCCGGGCCCCGGCCTGGGTATCGCTGGCCCTGCTGTGCAGGCGAAGGAGGGCTCTTTGAGGCTCCCTGCCGGGGCCGACGACAGCAGGTGCCGGGCTCCTGTCTCTGCTGCTGAAAATAGTGCTGGAGGAAGGAAGTGGCCAGGCCTAATAGCCGGTTTTAGCAAAAAGGTTCAGTCTGTCCAAGAACTTGAGTCATGCTGTGGAAGGATCGAGATGAGGGCCTCTCAGAGTTCACACGGCCTGAGAGGAACATTTGCTGAGCCCTGTGGCCGGGTTTCAGCAGGGAAGCAGCGCCCGAGCTCCCGATCCTCCGCAGGCCGCCTCTGGAGGGCCGCGTTCCCCTGTGTCTGCTTTGTAAACATGCTGGAGCAGAGGCTGCTGGCTCTGTGGGGTGTATTGTGCTGGGTTGTGCAACCGCCGCGCGGCCAGCCCCTCGCACACGAGGCTGGAGAAATACCACCGTCACGTGCAGCAGCCTGTGCAGCAAAAACAGTTGGTTTTAGTAACACGACTGTTTTTGCAGGTGCAAAAAAAAAAAAAAAATTCCAGGCTGACAGCATCTCTAAGTTTCAGTTTTGGTTGAGAAGAGCGTTTTAAAATCTCAACACCCAAACATCCATCCCCATGAATCATCAGGGAAATAGAATAGCGTGATGTCCCTCCCATCGGCCAGAAGCTTGGGCCGAGGATCTGAGAATGCTCCGGATTCTCCAAGTTCTCTCTAATGCGCCAGTTCGAAGACGCTGACATTTCAAATCCCCAAAATACACTTGATGATACTGTCTGGAGTTTCAGGATAATGTTAGCAGCTAGAGGGGGCGCGTTCCTCATGGCTAGAGATGGCGAAGGCTTCATTCCTCCCTAGAATTTGCATGGATAAGTATCCGCTACAGAGTTCGCTCCTCTGTCTCCCAACGGGATGATAAACTTGGACTTCTCTGGCCTTCCCTGCAAAACCTGGGACGTAAATGCTGCAGTGTTTTCTCTGGGAAGCTCATGTATTGTGTTTCTAATGTCACTATGAAATACAGAAGCGATTTCACAGGCTGAGCCCTGACATAGTCAGGGTCTAGGCAAATAGAAGTTTTAGTAAAAATGTAAAATGCAGCCCAGAGCTGTTGCTCAAATGTCATCCGATGGCTTCCGGGATTATTTGCGACACGGCTATGGCGTGGGAAGGAAATCACAGGCCAGCCTGATAGGTTCGTGTTGGCAAACTTTTAATTGCAAGATTGATTTAAAGCAGGGGTGGGGGACATCCGGCCTGTGGGCCGTGGAAGGCCTGCGGAATCATTTGGTCTGGCCCTGCCAAGGCTTTGGGGGTGAGTTAATTAAATGTTTGCCCCAATATAGCAGGCTAACTTTTAAGTTGATAATCTTGTGCGGCCCTCGAATGATGTTTGTAAGTACCCACATGGCCCTTGGCAGAAAAAAGGTCCCCACTTCTGATTTAAGGGCCCTTTGGGACCTTATAATTCCAAATGTCTTTCTTGAGCTCCTCATGGATTTAACCCGGGGAAGCAATCGTCTTGCTTTGCCAGGGCTGAAGGGGTTCCCGGGATGTGGGACTTTAGCGCTAAAATGGGGAAGGTCTCAGGCGAGCTGGGAGGAGCTGGTGGCCCTAAATTCAGTGCTGAGATTCAGAGGATTTTCTCAACCAGGTGACAGCACCACGGGAGGTGTTATTGAGGGCATATTATTATTATTATTATTAAACATATTTTTATTGATTTTAGAGAGGAAGGGAGATAGAAACATCAATGATGAGAGAAAATCATTGACCAGCTGCCTCCTGCACGCCCCCTTCTGGGCATAGAGCCGGCAACCCGGGCATGTGCTCTTAACTGGAATCGAACCCAGGACCTTTCAGTCTGCAGGCCGATGCTCTATCCACTGAGCCAAACCAGCTAGGGCTTGAGGGCATATTATTGATGAGTCCCTTACTCATACGTTGATTTAGTAGTAGGTTTCTGTTAAGAAAAGTAGGTTCGTTCATTTAACTCTACTTATTGGGTTCCTTCTATTTGCCGGGACTGTTCTAAGTGTGAGAGAGCCATTCCGTTCAGAGGTGATCCAAACACAGTCCTTGTGCTAATGGAGCGTAAATTCTAGCCAGGGTGGCCATTCAACCAGTCAATA